TCCAGCATCACAGCAACACACAAGCCACCATAGTACGACAAACTGACAGGTGGCGGAGTACAATAATAGTGAACGTTTACTAAGTGTGCACCATTTTTGGACGCTGCTTGAGTCCTCTTATATATATTCACTCATTTAATCCTCACTCCAGTGTGCTAACGCTGGTCTATGATAACGGAAGACTGAAGAACAATTGAAGCATTTGAATTACGGTGTTGGCAAGGAATATTCAATATACCATGGATGGCTAGAAAAATGAGCAAATTTGTCTTGGAAGAAGTACAGCCAGACACTCCTTAGAAGGAAGGATAGTAAGACTTTGTCTTGCTTACTTTTGACATGTCATCAAGAGGAATCAATCACTAGAGAAGGACATTAGGCTTGGTAAAGTAGAGGGTCAGCAGAAAAGAGGAAGACACTCAGCAAAATGGATTGACACAGCGCCTGCAACAATGAACTCAAATATACCAAGGATTCTGAGGATGGTGCAGGACCAGGCAACGTTTCGTTCTGTTATACGTAAAGTTGCCATGAGTCGTAGCTGACTTGACGGCAACTAACAGCAACAACAAATCCTCACTCCATCCATCTGAGGCAGGGACTGATGTTTTAATTATAGAGATGAGGAGGCTGAGTCACAGAGATGTTAAATAACTTATGTAAGGTCATACAGCTCATAAGGGACAGAGCCGGGATCTGAACCCACACAGCATGTTTCCTCAGTCCAAGCTTCGAGCAGAGATGCTCCACCACTTCCCTCACTACCTCATAGACAACAGTTGAGGAAATTAGAATGTAACAAATTTTTGAAGAATGGTATAGCTTTTACCATGATCTTTTCAATCTCATATGCAAGCAAAAGATGGAAAATAAAAAAGGAAGACAGAAGAAGAATTGATACTTTCAAACTGTGGTGATGGTGAAGAATATCGTATATACCTTAGCTTGCCAGAAGAATGAACAAATCAGTCTTAGAAAAAATACAACCAGAATGTTTCTTAGAAGTGAGGATGTTGAGGCTTTGACTTGCTTACTTTGGACATGTCATTAGGAAAGACCAATAGTTAGCAAAGGATATCCTGTTTGGTAAAGTAGAGGGCCAACGAAAACGAGGGAAATCCTCAACGAGATGGACTGACACAATAGCGAAAACAATGCACTCAAACATACGAATGATCATGAAGATGGCTCAGTACTGGGCAACATTTCATTCTGTTATATATAAGATCACCGTGAGTCAGAGTCAGCTCGAAGGCACCTAAGAACAACAACGTGGTTGAACCTTGAAAACGTTATGTTAAGTGGAAGAAGTTAGTCATAGAAAATTCATATATCAAATGATTCCATTTCTATAAAATATTCAGAACAGGCAAATCTAAACACACATTGGGGCCGGGGAAGTTGGGTGAGAATAGGTAGTGACTGCTAATAAGTTTGGGGTTGTTTTAGAGATTAAAATGTTTTAAAACTAGATTGTGGTAATGGTTGCAATACCTTAGGAATATACTACAATACATTGAATTGTACACTTTAAATTTTATGGAATGTGAATTATATTTCAATAAAACTGATTTTGAAAAGAACTTTTGCCATGAGTAGCTGAAATGGGTTATAGAGCTTAAAGAAAAACAACAGATAAACAGCCACCCTCACATTAAAAATAGATTAGTACTGTCTTGTCATTGAGACTCTTTATAATTAACCAAATGCTACAGTCTGGCAAACTTCTAACACCTTAGCACACTCCTTCATTTCTCAAGCTTGGTTTAAATGCTACCTCTTCCATAAAGCCTTTAGTGGCTTGCCCCTCTAGAGTTAATTTTTTCTTCCCATATTTCCTCAAGACCATCTTTTACAGACTCAAAGCATGGTGCCATTTATTTACCTGGGTAACTGGATACCTCCCTCACTCGGCCAGAATCAACCATGCTGTATATGGTCCTGTTTCACTTGTACCCACCAAGTGGGTACACTTGTACCTACTCAGTCATTTTCAGTAAATGGCTGAACAAAAAAGGCTGGTAGATCCTCAAACAGTAGTCAACACTAGCTGTCAAAATGATCACAAAGATGTCACAGGACCTGGCAGCATTTTGTTCTGTTCTACACGAGGTTGCCATGAGTTGGAGCCAACTCATTGGGGACTAACAACAGCTTCGACAAAAAGTATTTATTCAGAGGGGGTTATGAGGTGCAGACTTTTCTGTATACATGTTATACTTCAAAAAATTTACTTAAATAATACATTTTAAACTGGATAATTGTTCTGATGTAAGGTTATAAGAATGAAAGGAGGATTAAGGTTAATATATAGAATAGGATTACTACTGTGTAAGAGTAAAAGCTACATCAATGCCTAGAATAAAGACCAGGTGGGAAGTGGCCCAACTCCCTTGGGTAGCATGACAGTAGGTGATTTCTTCTTTGCTTCTTTTCTATTTTTCCGAGTTTTACTAATTTACTCTAATGAGGTCATGCTGATTTCTAAAAACAGCAAAGTACTAAAAAAAAAAAAAAGAAGCCAAAATCCTATACTTTTCCCATGGTTTTCATTCCAGACTGACATGCTCTCCTGCTGATGGATGTAAAAGTTAAAAGTAAAGATGGGGTGAAAGTTTATAACTTGAGACAAGAATTTTATGAAACTTCCAGATGGTGAAACACTGAAATATTTTCTCTCTAGTAAAAAGACTGTGGAATGGAAGAGAGAGAAAGAAGAGCAAGTATCACTCTTTCTCATCTTTATGACGTCCATGTCTTATAAAGCATCTTGCTAGAACACCGCAGTAAGAGCAAGGTGCAAAATAACGTGTTCTCCTGAAAACAAATCAGAAATGCAATTGGAAGCCTCTGCCTGTTTGCACCAGTGTCGGTCTTGTCGGTCCAAATCGGTGAGGAAGAGTAAAAATAAATCAGCTACTCCGTCAAGGTCAGAGAATGGAGCTCTCTGGTTTTAACTCTCTTCTCTGTTGATTTGCAAGAGAACGCCAATGCTTACTGTCTACATATGTGAAGCACAGACCACACACCAACCAGGTAGGAGAGAGAAGAAACCAAAGCTCAGAGAGGTTTAGTGCTTTTCCGCTATCACACAGCCAAGATGTGCCAGAGCCAGGATTCAAGTCCAGTTTGGTCTCATTACAGAACTTGTGTTTGGATTGAATTGTGCCCCCACAAAATGTGCGTCAGCCTGGCTAGGCCATGATTCCCAGTATTGCCTGGTTGTCTTCCATTTTGTGATCTGCTGTGATTATCCTATGTGTTGTAAATCCTTCTCTCCATGATGCTGATGAGATGGGATTATTAGCAGTTATATTAATGAGGCAGGACTCAATCTACAAGATTGTATTGTGTCTTGAGCCAATCTCTTTTGAGATATAAGAGAAAAAAGTGAACAGAGAAACATGGGGACCTCATACCACCAAGAAAGCAACACTGGGAGTAGAATGCATCCTTTAGACCCGGAGTTCCTGCGCAGAGAAGCTCCTAGACAAGGGGAAGATTGATGACAAGGACCTTCCTCCAGAGTCAACAGAGAGAGAAAGCCTTCTCCTGGAACTGACACCTTGAATATGGACTTCTAGCCTCCTAAACTGTGAGAGAATAAACTTGTTTGCTAAAGCCATCCACTTGTGGTATTTCTGTTATAGCAGTACTCGATAACTAAGACACTGTGAATTTTCCACCAGATTTCTAGAGTCTCCCAACATTTTTCCCCCAAATGTTTATTTTGCACAGTGGAAGTTGTTGAGAAAGAAAGATGAGCTCTTTGTCTCTCCATTTTTGAATACTTTTGCTTATTATCAAAATCATCCTCTGCATTCTTACCCAGATCAACTGAATATCCTTTTGCTCTGCTTTGCTTTGCAAACTTCTACACGTTTGTGGTGATGCAATAACAGCTGAGGGTTTTGAATCATCTCTGAAGTCATGGGCATTGGATCTGAGGCTCACATAAACTCTCTGAGCCAATGCCCAGGAATGCTGTGGCCCTCTTGTATATTTTATTAGGTAAGAGTTCAAAGAAGAGAGCAGCTTATTAAAAGAGAGCCTATAGGGAAATAAAATGGGGGCAGTGGTGGCTCAGTGGTGGCTCAAGAATTCTCTCCTTCCATGTAGGAAACCTGGGTTCAATTCCCAGCCAATATACCTCATGTGCAGCCACCATGCGTCTGTCAGTGGAGGCTTGTGTGTTGCTATGATGATGAACAAGTTTCAGGGGAGCTTCCAGATTAAGACAGACTAGGAAGAAAGGCCTGGTGAGTTACTTCTGAAAATCAGTTAATGACGCTATAAATCACAATGGTCCAATCTACAACAGATCACAGGGATGGCACAGGACTGGGCAGTGTTTCATTCCATGTGCGTGGAGGTTGCCACAAGTTGGGAGCCAGCTCAACAGCAGCTAACAACAATAACCTGTTGTCGTCTAGTCAATTCTGACATATGGCAACCCCATTGTTATACAGTAGAACTGAGGTCCATAGGATTTTCTTGGCTGTAAATGTCATGGAAGTAGATTTCCAGGTCTTTCTTCCATTGTACCGCTGGCTGAGTGCAAACCTTTTCAACAACAATAAAAAAAAACAAACAAAAAACCATGGCTGTTTTGTCAATTCCAACTCATAGTGACCCTATGGGTCAGAGTAGAACTGCCCCATAAGGTTTCTAAGGCTATACTCTTTATGGAAGCAGACTGTCACATAGTTCTCCTGTGGAGTGGCTGGTGGGTTTGAACCGCTGACCTTTCGTTTAGCAGCTGAGCCCTTAACCACTGTGCCACCAGGGCTCCATTCAACAATAGGGAAGTAAAATATAGACAAGAATATTCTCTGGATGGATATGATGTCAGTGAGGCACTGCATGATGTGCTCCAAAGATCCAGACAGTTTGCAGTGACTAAAGGGTCTTTAGAGGCATGCCCTTTCTTCACCTGGGGTCCCTGAAGCACTGTTTAACAGTCTCTGAATGTTTTCAGAGATAACCCTCAGTTTACTTACAGAGAAGATGGCAGCCAAAATCTCGATGCCACCTGTGCTCAAGGTGACGTACGGGATCTTTTCCGGAGCAATCCCAGCCGCTTCGAAGATACTATTGGTGTAGAACCAAATCTATAATGCAGGAAAGAAAAAAAAGGTAGGGGTCAGTGGGAGGCATCTATTTCCTAAATGAAATTCATGTACCAGGTGGTCTCTGAAAGTCGCTACTAAATCCAGAGTCACAAGATGGAGCCGTGTTGGTGTGGCCAAATACTTGTTTATCCCCCTTCTTCATTACTAATGTTGTTGTTGTTAGGTGCCATCGAGTTGGTTCCGACTCATAGTGACCCTGTGTACAACAGAACAACACACTGCCCGGTCCTGCACCATTCTCACAATCATTGCTTTGCTTGAGTCCAAAGTATGTGAGACGCAGTCTCACCAACCTCGCATCAAAGGAGCATTCTGGTTGTACTTCTTCCAAGACAGATTTGTTTGTTCTTTTGGTAGTCCATGGTATATTCAATATTCTTTGCCAACACTACAATTCAAAGGCACTAATTCTTCTTTGGTCTTCCTTACTCATCGTCCAGCTTTTGCATGCATATGAGGTGACTGAAAACACCATGGCTTGGGTCAGGCGCACCTTAGTCTTCAAGGTGACATCTTTGCTTTCTAACAATTTAAAGGTGACTAAAATACAAGGTGACTGTCTTTACCTTTGCCTCTCCTCCTTCTGAGGTTTATTTGAGTGAGCAGTTTGGAGCTGAAAAACCAGGAAGCACCCTGGGGATTTGGAAAGTGTCTTGCAGTGGCCCCTCCCATAGGTTGTACTTTGTGTTGGGCACATCCATGATCCAATTAAGCTTGTTCAGGTTGCCCAGCAGTCTTCTCCCACTGGTGTGGAGGACGGAGAGGGAAGAGCAGCAATTCTGGAGGTCTGCAAACCAGGATTCCAACTCCAATGCTGTCTCTTATTAACTGTGTGGCCTTGGGCAAGTGATTCAACTTCTCTGAATCTCCCTTCTCCAAAGGAAGGTAATGATAACAACAATGAAGCAAAGCATCTAGGTCAGTGGTTTTTATATAGCTGGTGCTATATAACAAAGGATAGTTATTATTCTGGAAGATTCCGTTTCTCCATTGAGATGTGATTGCTCTTGGGTTAAGAAAATGATCCACAATTACAAGGATGTTATGGGGAGGAATGCATGGGTCTGTCTGCTTCTAAGTCCAGTCTCTTCCTTGGGTAATGGATATTTGAGGAAACTTGCAGTGGATGTATGTGTATTTTGGAGGGGGAGCGGACAGAGGGAAAGGATTTGGGCATTCTTAAGTTTCTGCCTCTAATATCCTAAAACCTTTACTTTTGACTCATGATACAGTATTTTATAGACAAAGTAAAGCATACATTAATGTTTTTAGCCCTTATCACCATGGAAGCAGCAGTCAAGAAATCAAATGACGCACTGAATTGGGCAAATCTGCTGCAAGAGACCTCTTTAAAGTGTTGAAAAGCAAAGACATCACCTTGAAAACTAAGGCACCCCTGATCCAAGTCATGATGTTTTCAACGGCCTCATATGCATGCAAAAGCTGGACGATGAATAAGGGAGACTGAAGAAGAACGGACACCTTTGAATTGCGGTGTTTGCAAAGAATATTGAATACAGACTGCCAAAAGAATGAACAAATCTGTCTTGGAAGAAGTACAACCAGAATGCTCTTTGGAAGCAATGGGCTCAAACATAACAACGATTATGAGGGTGGCATGGGACTGGGCAGTGTTGTGTTCTGTTGTACACAGGGCCACTATGAGTCTGGACCGACTCAACGGCATCTAACAACAACAACAATGAATCGTATTTTGTCCCCGCCCCCAAATATGTATTGAAATCTCTGTCCCTATAAATAGGACTCTGTTTGGAAGTAGGAGGGGTTTTCTTCTGTTGAGTTAAGAAGGTTATACCAGAGTAGGGAGGATCCTAAACCTAATCACTTCTGATTTATAAACAGAGCAGAATAGACACACACAGGGGAAGATGCCATATGAAGACAGACAGACATGGCAGATGCCTCTACAAGTCCAGGAACGCCAAGGATCGTCACGGCTACTAGAAACTGAAATAGACAGAGAAGGACCTCCGCCTAGAGTCACACTCTGAATTCAGACTTCTAGCCTCTTGAACTGTAAAAATAAATTTCTGTTTTTTAAAGCCACCCACTTGTAATATTTGTGTTACAGCAGCTCTAAGTAACTAAGATAGCTCTTTCAACAGCTTGGTGAAAGTGGCACTGTTATAGATTGAACTAGGTCCCCCCAAAAATATGTTGTAAACTCTAACCCCTATGCCTGTGGTTGTAATCCCATTTGGGAGCGGATTTTCTTTGTTATGTTAATGAGGCAGTATTAGTGTAGGCTGTGTCTTAAATCCATCTCTTCTGAGTTATACAAACAGCAAGTTAAGCACGGAAGCTGAAATGGGGAAGATAGATACCATGCCACATGAAGATGACCAAACAGCCAAGGAAAAGAAGCTGAAAAGAGAAAAGGACCTTGTCCCAGAGCTGAAAGAGAGAAAAAGCCTTCCCCTAGAGCCATGGCTCTGAATTCGTACTTCTAGCCTCCTATCATGGATTGCCAGAAGAACAAACAAATCTGTCTTGGAAGAAGTACAGACAGAATGATCCTTAGAAGCAAAGATGGCAAGGCTTCATCTCATGAACTTTGGACACGTTATCAGGAGGGACCAGTCCCTGGAGAAGGACATCATGCTTGGTAAGGTAGAGGGTCAGTGAAAAAGAGGAAGACCCTCAACGAGATGGATTGACACAGTGGCTGCAACAATGAGCTCAAACATGGCAACAGTTATGAGGACGGCACAGAGCCAGGCAGTATTTCGTTCTGTTGTACATGGGGTCGCTATGAGTTGGCACCAACTTGACGGCACCTAACAACAACTATCTATCTATCTGTGTATATAATCTATCTATCTATATACCTGTGTGTTTGTGTTTGAGAGAGAGACAGAGATAGAGAGAAGAGAGCAAACACAGAGGTGGTCTACACAAACAAATGGTGATGCACAGAATCTAGCTGAGGTATGGAAGACACAGGGGACCTTGCTCTTTTATTAAATGCTGCGTTCCTGGAACACTGTCCATGCTTTACCTACTCTTGGCAGGGGCCTCCATTCCTTTCATTGCACATTTCCACTTGGGAAGCAGAAGTTATGGAATACGCCCTCTCCTTCTGACCTGTGGAGGAGGAGTGAATGGTAGATGGATAGGAAGGAACCTCATGTGCCCAGTTGAGCTCCCAGGCTCCCCATGTACCTGTCCCACAGGAAGCTTGTACTCCCATCTGCTCTTTATGCAAGGAGGGGCCTGCCCTGTGGGGGTGGCTGGGGCTGCTTCCCCTCTGCCTATGATTGTGTTGGTGCCTTAAATCTGGGGGTGCAGAATTAATTGCTATGCCTAAAGTCACCCTCTCATCTGGCTTCGCTTGGGATAGAACTGATTTCCATCTGCCTGATTCCTGTCTCTCTCTCTCCAACCCATTCTGAGTTTTGGAGGGTTGGAAAGGGGCTTGTTTACTGTGCCTCCCAAACCCACCACTACATGACTGAATTTCATCCTCACCACAACCCTGTAAGGGAAATATTACTGTCTCCATTTAATAGATGAGGAAAGTGAGGCTCAGCCAAGTTCGAGGCCACACAGCTCTGAGTGACAGAGCTGGGATTCAAGCCCAGGTCTTTCCGACCCTCTCATCTGCCACCGCCTTGGGTTCCCTCCTGAAAGGGTTCGAGGTGGTGTAGGTCCTGGGAGCAGGTGAGTCAGCCAGAGAGGCCCAGACGCCTCACGGGAAAGGATAACAATGGGCCTGCTGCAAATAAAAGCAACATCTTCTTCATCATGCTGCCTAACCAAGCCTGAGAGCCTAAACTCGAGACCTTCGCCAAGCTGCTTCATTAAAAGCCCTCAGCAAATGTCATCGCTCATCATCTCGCCCTGACAATGGAGGTGAAGGAATGAGACCTGATCTCTGCCTCTCTCTGAAGAACCAGCTGAGGCCTTGGCTGCAGCTGTGAGCCTCATCCTTCAGCACAGCATCCTCAGATATCACTGACCTTCCCCAGGGCTAGCTGGGCTGGTGATCAGTCCTTGGATGTGGTTGAATTCCAGGTGAGGGCAACTTAAAACCTAAAGTCCTCTGATTGTGACCTGAAACAACAGGTCACTGGCTGAGGTATTTTATGGACAAGGCAGGTATGCTTGCTCCCTTTCATACGTGATGACCCTAGGGGCTGGGAGGGAGGCCACTCATCCCAGACACACAGCTGGTCAGGACTGTAGGCAGATCGGGGGTCCGTTGTCTGCCTCCCAGGCTGGACCCTAACTGCCAGGCTGTGCTTAATGTGGGGAGGCTGCTCCCATGCTGCTCCTAACGGCAATGGCAGGGGTGTGGGATGGGGGACTTCCACCTGTGTTTCCTTTCTGCCTCCCCTACCTGGGGTGCCCCGGATCCAGAGGTTGAGTAGGGTTGTTATGGATTGCGTTGTGTCCCCTAAACTATGTGTTGAAGTCCTAGTCCCTGTACCTGTGGATATGACCTGTTTGGAAGTAGGGTTTTCTTTTGTTATGTTAATGAGGCCATATCAGAGTAGGGTGGGTCCTAAACCTAATCACTTCTGAGTTATAAAAAGAGCAGATTAGACACAGAGAGATGCACACTGGGGGAAGAGGAAGACAGACAACAGAGACAGATGCAGGAACGCCAAGGATCTCTGGAAGCTACTAGAAGCTAAAATTGACAAGGAAGGACCTCCTCCTAGAGCCACACCCTGAATTCAGACTTCGAGCCTCCTAAAGTGTGAGAAAATAAATTTCTGTTCTTTAAGGACACCCACTTGTGTATTTTTTGTTACAGCAGCCCTAGGTAAACTAAGACAGTGACGGAGACTCTGGGTTCTATAGTTGGAAAGATAGGAGGCTGTGAGCTGCACAGAATAGATGTACGTCCCAGCAATGGTTATAGTGGTCTCTTGGACCCAGTCTCAACCTCTCTCACCTCTCTTAACTGACTGTGAGAAGCAGTCCCCTTCTCCACTCCCTATTCTCTTTCCTCA